GCAAACCAATAACGTTTTCAAGAGACAAAAGGTGACGGACCTTCCACCGGGAAACGTACATATTGATACTTTGCAGCTTCAACATTCTCTGGGGGTGTGCAGCTAACTGTAGGTGCTGTTATTCAAGTTAGACTGTAGTCCGAAGTGTGTTTTAAGTAACACAATATGACCCTAAAGAGCCGATTTAGCTGGAACATTAATTTGTGCAACGGTTTGTGCTGTTAAACAAGTCCCTTTCAAATAACATTAGTCACAAGCTAATATTAGTCAACAGCTCCGTTCAGACTGCAGCCTGAAGTGACCTAAATTGATTTTTTTTTTGCCCCTATGCTCCTGTATCTGATCTTTTAATGACAGTCTGAACGACGCAGACCCTTTTTTTTTTTTATGTGACCCAGGACACTTGGATATGTGCTCCTAAAACCGATACATATCTGATCTTTACACATGCGACTTCAGTTTGAACGGCCAGGTCGCATTCATCCCACCTACACGTCACAAATGTGCACGAACGTTCTTCTCGTCATACAAAAATTGTGTATGAACTCTGTGTCAGTGAAGCAGTGAAGCGCATCGCAATTCCACCACTCTTGGCTGCGACTCTGCACCCACACTTTCCTTTCTATGGACGTTGCTGCCACTGCCCCACAAAATGTCATGGCCAAAAACCTCGTCCTTCTCCTTCTTCTCAATCTCCTCCTTAAAACAAGTAACTTGTACGTGTTCTGGCTCTGGTACGACAGCAACTTTAAAATCTCCATGTGCTCAATGCTGTGTCCATGTTTACTTCCATAAACACTGAGCATGCTTACTGTGTGTGACGTCGTCGTGTCCTCCAGTGCGCATGCGGGACACTTTTGAAGCGTTTAAAGTTCACACTGGAGATCACATACAAGTCGCATTTAATTAGAAATGTGAACGAGCTTGTACAAAAATTGGATTTCACAAAAAAATCCAAATTGAACATTAAACCCTGCAGTCTGAACGTAGTCTAGAACTTAGTCACTCTTACCAGTTTTGTTCCAAATCAAACACCTAAACAGGACTCATATTGATCACAGACTCCCGAAAATGTGTTATTTAAATACATTTTGTATATTTTCAGTCTATATAAAACCTTTTTGATGCGCATACGGGACACCCCCAGCGTAACGTCATTGCAAAGTATCAGTTCACTAATTCACCTATTCGTTTATGGTTTAAATCAAACCAATGGCCCCAAACAGCATCTAATATCTCTGTAATATTGGAGTGTAACAGACTACGATTCCCAAAGTGCACCAGGAGACAGTGAAAGCCTTTTTAAAGTCCATGTGGTGAGAGTTTGATGAGAACAGATGAGATCCGATGGGCGCCTGCTTTATGTCTGCTTGTGTAATTGAATTGCACTGTTGCCAACCCAAACCTAACTCTGAGCTGTGTCTGTTTAACCAGAATACTAGTATGATTAGCTCCTCCATTAGCATTTACTGTCTGGGCAATTGGATTCTTGGTAGGTGGTAAAACGTTCTCGCAGTGTATAGTTTTAAGTTCACTGTCAGTGGCAAAAACAGTTACGTTTTAAAAGTCAGGACCAGCGTTACCTTATGTTGAGTCTGAAAAGTTGAAGTATCCGACTGAGCAGTTTTGTCATAGAGCCAAACGATTTTTTAGAAAGTTGAATAATAATTTTTCCATTATGTTCCAATGAGTCACTTCAAACTTTGGCAATTAACTAAAATACATTTCTCGTGCCAGAACGGAGTCATAACATGGCAGGTCTTATCAAGTTTCACGTTGAAAGACCTCGCTTAATCTTTTACAGTTCGTTTACCAAAAGATAATAGCAAGGTTATACCAATCAGATATTCATAATGGCAGATTATGACAGCCGGCAGCACAAAATAAAACAGAATTTAGTCTTTGGAAGCTGTTATGTTAAAAGCACGAAAAAGGTGGATTGTCATTTTTTTTTTTTTTTTGCTTAACTACTCACCCAAGCAGCATAAAACGAAGCCCAAAAAGAAGCAACCACTCATGTAAAAGAACTAGAAATCGCCTCGTTACCATGGATACATTATTGATTTGCTTGGAATGGTCCACAGTATGGCATCAAACGTGTATATCTCCATGGAGACGAGCAGAAGACCCCATCAGTTGGAGGTCAGATCTATGGAAAGGCGACTCTCCTCACAATGCAGTGATATTGAAGGTACATCTTGAGCAGTGAAAACACACGAAATTGAAAAAATGCAAGCAAGTTATGTTTAATGCCGTACTGTGGAACTTTCCAGATAAACGCTCCATAAAGTTCCATAGTGTACCTTTAAGATAAGCCTGTTTTAATGTGTGAAAAGGGTGCAACCATGTATAAGATCTGAGTTTAGAAAGTTATTGCAGTTTGTACTAATACTTCAGCTACATAATTCTGCTTTCTGTACTTTGAAATAACAAAATACAGAAAGCTGAATTTATCCAATCCACTTTATTTCTATAACACATTTCATAAGCAAAAGCATCTTCCAAAGTACTGCACAATAGATAAATAAAATCAAGTACTTAACTCAGTAAATCAAAGCATAAAATAGAGTAAAGACAGAGTTAAACATAAAAATATACTAGTAGACATAAATACTTCAAATAAGTTAAACAAATCTGTAAAAGACACTAGTTTTGTCACAATACTAACATTTCAAACGTGATTTCGATACTAAGGAAAAGGCTTGATACTCGATACCATAATGATGAAAAAAAGCATTACAATAAAAGTAAGATCAAAAAATGTTCAAGAAATGTCACATTTTGTCATGTTTTAGGATTTTTTTTTGGTATTGATGCTTAAATTGATCTGTTTTCGATACTGGTTTTAGTATCGATTAGTATCCATAGACTGTATACAGTGTATATATGGACATAGCTAATGTTCCAAATAGGAAATGAGCAGGGGCGGGCTTCCGGCTCCATCGACTCTGGCTCTAATTCACTTTGTATTGAAAAAACATCACCCCTTTTTCTGTAACTGCTGCTGTCAGGCTCCTCATTTGGGTCTTAAAATGTTCGTATTAACTCGCTTTACATGCTTCTGTTTTTTTTATTTCGCTATTTTTTCCATGAATCAATACGTATTCCTAAACCGCTAGCCTCTGTGAGCTTCATTTGACTGGAGCTGACCGCTACGGGTGACATCACACTCCCTCAGAGCACTTCTTTCTACAGCCTGTTACTTTTGACAACCCTAAAAAGTCGAGGAGAACCACAACACACAACTCAGGCGGTGTTAAAATCCAGAGAGTAAAAGCGGGTCTTAAGTTCTTAGCTCTTCTTTGTCTTTGCGGCTGTTTCGCCTTTTTACCTTTTCGCATTTGCGTCTCTGAAATGAAGGAGGTGGGAGGAATGCTGTGAGAAAGCCAGTCAACAAATATCTCTCTGTATAGTGAGTACAAGAGGAGAAGGCTTGGCTCAATGCTCCACTGCACCACAGCAATGTCTGACTCCTCAATGGGACCGAGCGCATGGCCAACTTTAACATTTGGCTGTGGCTCTGACTGTATCCAGATACCTTTAATCCTGCATTCCTTTTGTAGTCGGTGTTAAAATGGCTTCCACATTTTGCCATTGAGAAAAGCTGGAGGGGTTAGGAACGAATCGGTGCGGAGTTGTAAAGGTGTGTGCGATGTGTACGGACCGAGAGTGGATGCGTGAAAGGGTAATGTCGGGAAGGGCATCAGGTGTAATAGCTGCTGAAATGAAGAGGAAGAGATGCTTATTTACATACTCAAAGTTGTGTTTAGAGTGATCTGTGCATGTTTGAGTTTTTCGTTTAATTCACACATGTTTGACTAATCCATTATTATTAGTCTGTCTACATCTCCAGAACTCTCTTCCACCTTGTGATGTCATGAAGCGGTAGTTTTCAAGTTAACAGCTCCACTTTACCTTTAGTTCAGTTGAGGTTGGCAATTCCTGGGTTGAAATCATCCAAATGATTCTGGTGAAGGTGTATGGAGTCTAAAAACACAGGGGATCTCTTCCTGTATTAACACATGACATCACAAGGTGGTGTTTTATGTTTGAAAGAAGAAATCACTGTTTTGATGAGGAAACAACATTATAACATATCAGAAAATGGCGTAATATTGGCCATTTAACTTGTAAAACACCATTTTGGCACAAATAAAAAAAAAAATTATGCCTACTTCAAATGCGTAGTCGTGATTTGGTCTTGAGTCAGAATTGAGTCACTATTTTTAGAACTTGAGACTTGACTTGATAAAATAGACTAAAACTTGGGACTCGACTTGGACTTGAATGTCAGTGACTTTGGACTTGACTCAGACTTGAGGCCTGTGACTTGAGAAGACTCGATGCTTCTCCTAAAAAAATGAATGTTTTACAAAATACTTTTCTTTTTTCAGTTGATACATGCAGTGCTTAATTTTACAGGAACAAACTTTAACATGTCCCTCCCATTTCTCTGTTTGTTACTTTGGATATAACTGAAGTACTGTGATGTGG